TGTGCCACCAGGGAGGGCCCTGTTCTTTAAAATATATACTGGATGAAAGAACACAATTGAAGTAACGGAGCAGGGCTCAAGAAACTGAAGAAATCTATTTACAAAATAGTGACATTGGAGATCTGGATAGAATGGAATACTATTAACTTTAAAAGGCAAAAGCTTAAAATGGATTCATCATAGAGAATTAGAATTGTAAAATATGTAGCTGATTAAAACTGTTATGCTTAAATATTATTTAAGTTAGGGGGAAATTCATTCAATCAATACTTCCCCTATACCACCTCTATCACTGGTAGTTTACAATCAGTAAAAACTGCAGTGTGTGTTAAGTCCTGCAAAAGAATGAGGTAAGTAGCACTGATAGTCTTATCTGCTGTAGTATTACATTTAGCCTGGAAACGTTTGGAACGTGGGTGCAGGACTGGAATCCCAAGTGATAAAGTGGTGAAGAATGAGGCAGAAAATTCAGTGCTGAACCTGTTCAAACTATGCACATTAAATTGATTGGCCAATGCAATCATTAGGATCTGGTCAATCAGAAGTGTCATTTACATCAATGATTCCAAGGCAAAAAAAAAAAAAACAAAAAAAACCACTGTTCCATATAAATGTAGCTGCGTTTACTTACATATAATGTCTCTGCCATGTTTCCCATGGGAGTATAGTGAGTTCAAAAGTTGATGTTGCTCAGATTCTTTGTAAGCCAGGTCTCCTTATAGAGACCTGCTTAAATTAAGATCAAGGGTTGGCTTTCTGTGCTCATTTTGGTGTTTTGACTTTCAGTTCTGAATATCATAGTCATTTTTATCAAGGCTATTTTTTTCACCAAGAACTTGGGCCCTTTTAAGAAACCTGCCTCAATAATTAATTAAAATTAACCTTAAATATCTAAACATTCCACCTAGAGTTAAAAAGAACCAAATCTCATCACCTCAGTCTCTTTACTGTTTTGTCAGTGAAAAAAAATTTTTTGTTTCTGGGTTCTGCAAGATAATATATTCATTAGTTTTCTTTTTTGTTATAAAAAATGCAGAAAATTAACTTTTAAGGTCACACATTTTGCTTCAATGAAGATTTGCTAAAAATGCTTCTCCTACAGGGCCCTCCCTGGTGGCACAGCGGATTACAGTGCAGCACTAAGAAGCTAAAGCCACTTCAGCATGAGTTTGACCCCCGCCCGGGAGGTGACCCACATGGCCCGGCAGACCTCTCCTGACCCACCCACTGCTACCCTCAGCGGTGTAACTTTGTCAGTTGGCCTTTTCTGCTCTCTGGTGAATCCTCTCACCGCCCCTGCACCTCTGGCCTGTTACTCCAGTGCTGTGTGAATAATTTAAAAAAAAAAAAAACAATATAGAAATTTTAACAAACACTTTGCTCTGTTCTTAGGTCAATGTCAGTATCTAGACCAGACATATTCGATTTAATAACTTTCTGCAACCATAACATTCTGTAATCTACAGTGTCCAGTATTGGTAACCACCAGCTATTATACATGGCTATAAAATACTTGAAATGTGAAATAGTCAACAAATAGACTACCCTTTGGAACACTTAAAATGACTTATTGAAGAACTGAGCTTTAAATCCTAGTGAATTTAAAGCTGATATAGCACTTAATCAAAACCCCCTATGATAGCTCTTAGCAGCTTGGCAGAGAACACTGTAGCATTGGGGAGATAAATGTGGTACATAAAGTTTCTTCTCTAACACTAGGGTTAGAAGTGCCTATCATGTTACAATCAAAATGTAAACTGTAAACTCCTCTACATACATGGGTTCTGCACCTGTTATGCAAAGTTGGCTGAATCCAAGCATGTGAAACCCAATTCAAATCCACATTGCTCAAGAGTAAAGTGTATTATTATTTTGGCTTGAAAATCTTCCTGTCATACTCTCCAACAGTTCATATAATATATGCATGTCTATAAATCTCTCATTTCTTTACCACTACTTTCCACTCCCAGAGCAAGCTTCTTATGTGTCTGTAACTCACTGAGCTTATACCATGAACAACACACCTTATGTGTGTGTTAATGGCTAGGTTATTTTAAAAAAGGGGGGGGGGGTTGTGGAACAGAGTTGCATGCTTAACAATTCAGCTCCCACTCAAGGAACAAGAATCCAAGTCACCAATTCAACTAATAAGTGATGGAAAGTAGGCAGACTTGGCAGTCATTAAAACACGTCTAGAGAGATTATCTTTTCTCTGTGGCCATTTCAGATTACCATTTCTAACCTGGCCTATGAGTCACGTATAAAATGAAAAGTAATGGTTTCCATCTCTCCTTCAGTACAGGACATCCATGTTGAGTAACTTCCACGGCTTCCAGTGCTTCAGTGAAAGTTCAGGTATGTGGGCTTTTCATTCATTATATCCCTGGGGGTTGCAGCTTTAAGTCTGCTGTGACTGGAGCAAGAGAGAAGGTGTTATATGCTTATTTCCACAGAAATGATTATTCCATCGAATATTGAGATAAAGTGGCTGTTTTCTTTCAGATTGTAGAGCTGATCTTGAAATGAAAAGGATTTCTTTTGCTCCCAATAACAAACCCTAGAAAATATGACCATTAATGAAGCTACAAGATGGGGAAGGAAAAGGGGAAGAAAAAAGTAAGGGAGCACAATAGACTATTATGGCGGGCTGAGGGTGCTTTGATGGTGGGTGTAGTATGGTGACATTTATCTGAGGGGTGACCCCATCCCAATGTTACCTTAATTACAAAAAATTACAAAAATTCATTTGGCTAGACTTTCATGGAATTTTGTCACTGACATGTGTTCCTGAATAACGCAGCATGATCAGCTAGGCTAAGACAGGGTTTCTCATGTTAAATAGACAATTGGAAAATAAAACAAAAGATAAAGAATGTCACTTAAAAATTAAAGCAAAGGCAGATGAACAGATGTTTCAAAAGTCAAACAATCACATTTGCCCAAAACTCTCCCAGCTTATCAAAAATTAAAGGCTCTGCCATTGTGACAATATGAATGGAAATACAGGGAAACTTCATTAAGTGAAGTAAATCAGAAGGAGACAGACAAGTTTCACTTGTGCATTATGAGATCAAAACAAAGGAAAAAACAAAACTAAAATAAA